AGAAGACAAGAGTTGAGCTTTGGGAATCTCTGCCTAGATTTCAGAAGATGTATGAAAATGCCTGGATGTCCAGGCAGAAGTCAGCTGCAGGGCGGAGCCCACATGGAGAATCTCTACCAGAGCAATGGAGAGGGGAAATGTGAGGTTGAAGCCCCCACACAGAATCCCCCTCGGGGCACTGCCTTGTGGAGCTGTGAGAAGAGAGCCACTGTCCTCCAGACCCCAGAATGGTAGCGCCACTGACAGCTTGTACCGTGCAGCTGGAAAAGCTACAGGCACTCACCACCAGCCTGTGAAAGCAGCCATGGGGGCTATACCCTGCAGAGCCACAGAGGTGGAGCTGCTCAAGGCCTTGGGAGCCCACCCCTTGCATCAGCATGTCTTAGATGTGAGACATGGAGTCAAGGGAGATCATTTTGTAGCTTTAAGATTTAATGATTATGGCCAGGCACAGTGGCTCATGCGTATAATCCAAGCACTTTGGGAAGCTGAGGCAGGTGAATCACCTGAGGTGAGACCAGCCTGACCAACATGGCAAAACCCCATCTCTACTAAAAATATAAAAATTAGCTGAGTGAGGTGGTGCACACTTGTAATCCCAGGTACTTGCAGAGCTGAGGCAGGGGAAGTGCTTGAACTGGGAGGTGGAGGTTGCAGTGAGCTGAAATTGCACCACTGTACTCCAGCCCAGGTGACAGAGGGAGACTCCATCTCAGGAAAAAAAGAAAGATTTAATAGTCAACTACCCCACGAGGTTTTGGACTCATGTGGGGGCCTTTGTTCCCTTTGTTTTGGGCAGTTTCTCCTATCTGTAGAACATGAGGAGTGAAAACATCTACCCAATGTCGGTACCCCCATTGTATCTTGGAAATAAATAACTTGTTTTTGATTTTACAGGCTTCTAAGTGGAAGGGACCTGCCTTGTCTCAGATGAGACTTTGGACTCGGACTTTTGGGCTAATGCTGAAATGAGTTAAGACTTTGGGAGACTGTTAGGAAGGCATGATTGGTTTTAAAGTGTGAAAAGGACACAAGAGTTGGAAAGGGCCAGGATGAAATGGTATGGTTTGGCTCTGTGTACTCACCCGAATCTCATCTCAAGTTGTATTTCCCATGTGTCAGGGGAGGGACCTGGTGGGAGGTGATTGAATCATGGGGACAGTTTTCCCCTGTTGTTCTCATGATAATGAGGGAATTGTCATGAGATCTGATGATTCAGAAGTGGCAGTTTCCCCTGTGCACTCTCTCTTTCCTGCCTCCCCTTACCTTCTGCCATGTTTATAAGTTTCCTGAAGCCTTTCCAGCCATGTGAAACTATGGGTCAGTTAAACCTCTTTTCTTTGTAAATTACCCAATCTCAGGTAGTATCTTTATAGCAGTGTGAAAATGGACTAATACATAATCTAAGTGCATCATATATTGAGATAGCAGATAAATTACATCAATGCAATGGATTTTTAAGGTACTATTAAATAAAAAATGGTGAAGATTATGATACTATGTGGGTAGATTTTTATTATAAGTTCAAGTGAAAAAACTTATAGAGGAAACGAATATAGGTTGAGCCTCAGTATTTAATTCTTGTTACTACTACATAGGATTATCAAAATAGGAAAGTTTGTGCTGTGATTACAGTTATGATAATATAGCTGTGAAAAACAAGAATGTAATAGGCTAAAGTGAAAACCATTTACTTCAATTGGTGGAATTGTGGGTGTATCATTCAGGGATTACAATTACATACTCATAAACAGAAACCCCATCAAATGTGGCTTAACCAAATAAAGGCGTAAATTTTTTTCATGCGAAAAGTCCTGAAGAAGGTGGTCTTAGGATGGTGTGGTGCTGCTGTCATCAGGGTCTTAAATATCTTCATCCTTTCTGCTCTGCTACCCTTAATGTATGGCCTTACTCCTCATTGTTTCTGTATAATTTGAAGATGATTGATTGACCACCAGTATCATCTGTGAATTCTAGGCAAGAAGAAGGGGAGGGCGTGGAGCAAAAGGCTCCTGCCAGCTGATTCACCTTCCTTTTTTTATTTTATTTTATTTTTTTTATTTTTTTGAGATGGAGTTTCGCTCTTGTTACCCAGGCTGGAGTGCAATGGCGCGATCTCGGCTCACCGCAACCTCCGCCTCCTGGGTTCAAGCAATTCTCCTGCCTCAGCCTCCTGAGTGGCTGGGATTACAGGCACGTGCCACCATGCCCAGCTAATTTTTTTTGTATTTTTAGTAGAGACGGGGTTTCACCATGTTGACCAGGATGGTCTCGATCTCTCGACCTCGTGATCCACCCGCCTCGGCCTCCCAAAGTGCTGGGATTACAGGCTCGAGCCACCGTGCCCGGCACTCACCTTCCTTATAATGAGTTTTCCTGGAAGTCTCATCCAGGGACTTTTGATTCCATATCACTGATCAGCACTGTGGCACACAGTTCCCATTAGCTGAAAGAAAGTCCAGAAAATGTATTTTTTTTTAAAGTGGGCATAATGCCACCTAGAATAAAAGAGGGGTTATGTTGGTACGGAAGAAGGGGAGAAAAAGATGTTAGATAAGTAAGCAGCAAGTGTCTGCCAACTTGTTTTCCCCTGAATGCTATGATACTTTTAATCATAAAAATTAGACTGGCTAGGATAAGAAAGACATCTGGTAGTGGATGAGACGTACCAATCCTAATTTCTTAACTGATATTTGGCTTGTCTAGATCCTTTCAGCCTTCTCCTTTCACATGGCCTTACAATGGTTTTATCCTAGAGAGTAAGTCTGTAAAGGGCCAAGAAGGTGGAGTTTTGCTGTACTTAATAGGGCTTACTTGAGAGTTGGGAGAAAAATGGCAGTATGGAAACTTAGGGCTAAAACAGATTTGGATACGTTGGGAGAGGTTGTGAGGTTGTATAGTATGCTTAAGCCTTTTCCAAGCTTCAGTTCCTCCTGTGTAAAATATAATAGGACCTGCTGTGCTTATTTTATAGGTTAGAGGGATTTTTGGTTTTGAGACAGGGTCTTGCTCTGTTGCTCAGGCTGGAGAATAGTAATGTGATCATTGCTCATTGCAGCCTTGAACTGGTCTCAAATGAACCTCCTACCTCAGCCTTCCCAGTAGTTGGGACTACAGGTGTGTCACCATGCCCAGCTATTTTTTTTTTTAATTAAATTTTTGTAGAGATAGGGTCTCACTGTGTTGTCCATCTTGCTCTCAAACACCTGGGCTCAAGTGATCTTCCTGCCTTAGCCTCTTGAAGCACTGGGATTACAGCCTTGAGCCCACCACACCTGGCCAAGGGTTTTTATAAAAATGAAGTGGAAGAAGTAGTGCCTACATTTTTGTATGGAGTAATGCAGTTTACAACATCAGACCTATTTCATTTGGCAGTCCAAAGCCACACGGCTATTTCATGGTATCAGTTAGACTTGAGCTTAAACTCCTAATTTCTCTTCCAGATAATACACAGCACTGTCTATTCATTATTAGATTGCATTAATCTTATAAGTAACTACTCTGTAACTCAGCATTTTACATTATCCAGTTCAGCAGTTCTTATTTTTTTTCTTTTGAGACAGGGTCTTGCTTTGTCACCCAGACTGAAGTGGAGTGACACGAGCATGGCTTACTGCAGTCTTTTTATTTTATTTTATTTTATTTTTGAAATGGAGTTTCACTTTTGTTACCCAGGCTGGAGTGCAATGGCGCGATCTCAGCTCACCGCAACCTCCACCTCCTGAGTTCAGGCAATTCTCCTGCCTCAGCCTGCTGAGTAGCTGGGATTACAGGCACGCGCCACCATGCCCAGCTAATTTTTTATATTTTTAGTAGAGACGGGGTTTCACCATGTTGACCAGGATGGTCTCGATCTCTTGACCTTGTGATCCACCCGCCTCGGCCTCCCAAAGTGCTGGGATTACAGGCTTGAGCCACCGCGCCTGGCCTGGCTTACTGCAGTCTTGACCTTCCAGGCTCAAGCAGTCCTCCCGCCTCAGCCTCTTAAGTAGCTGGAACTACAAGCATGTGCCACCATACACAGCTATTTTTTTTGTAGAGACAGGGTTTCACCATGTTCAGTTCAGCAGTTCTATTCTAACTTAACTTGATGGAAGAAAATATGATATGATAGTGTAGGTGGGAGGCAGTGAGGATAATATTAGATAATGTAAGTAACAGATAAGTTCCATATAAGTACACAAAATATTCATGGGATACAAATGACAGGAAATATTTAGGGCTAGAAAGAGGGATCAAGTTGACCTGTTCATGTTGATGTATATGATACATGTCGATTTCTGTGTCTTAGCCAGTCAAACAATACGAAGTTTTTTGTTTTGTTTTGTTTTTTCTTTCTTCTTCTTTTTTTTTTTTTTAATGAGACAGAATCTCACTCTGTTGCCCAGGCTGAAGTGCATTGGCATGATCTCGGCTCATTGCAACCTCTGCCTCCCGGGTTCAAGCAGTTCTCCTTCCTCAGCCTCCTGAGTGGCTGGGACTACAGGAGTATGCCACCACGCCCAGCTAATTTTTTGTATTTTTAGTAGAGATGGGGTTTTGCCATGCTAGTCAGGATGATATCGATCTACTGACCTTGTGATCCACCCACCTTGGCCTCCCAAAGTTCTGGGATTACAGGTGTGAGCCACCGCATGATTACCATGTGAGCCAGCCAACAATACCAAAATTTAAGGAATACATTTTATAACATTTTACATATTGATAGAGAAATGAATTGGAAATTGTACAAATCAAATACAAACTTAGCATCTAGCGTGCCACCAATAAGAGTGTTTATGATAATTCTGTGATTTTCTTATGCTGGATGTGGAATTCTTGAGTTGAATGTTAAAGCAATATATTTTTACTTTGTATATTTATTGATGTAAATATTTTACACACTTAAAAATTGAGATTCATTTGACCACCTATAGATTTTGCAATTTCAAAATTTTCCAAGGACCTTTAATAATGAGTATGCCTTAAAACTGTATTTTTTTTTCTTTCTCCCTGTTTAGTGAATTACCTGAGAGAGAAGAAGGTGAAGGAGAAGAAACTCCAAATTTTAGCCACTGGGGTCCACCAAGAATGTATGTGGATGACATTATTGGCTTTCTCAGTAGGAGCACAATCAGTTACTCTTTTCTTTAACTTTTAGAACATCGTTTAGTCATACTCTAATGATTGAGAAGTTGAAATAATTTGCCTGTAAGCTGGCCTACATTTTAGTTTCATGTTGTCTTATCTAGAGATTTTTAGCCGAACAAAACAACTGTAACCAATATTAGGAATATCTTTGTTACTCTTTCAGAGAAAGCAGTTTAGAAATGTCCATCTACAGGTATAGTTTATCAATATGTCATTAAGCAAGTCAGGTAAAGCTGCCTTGAATGTAGTAAAGCTTCCTTTTTTGGTAAACAACAATAACAGTAGTTGAGACTTCTAGTATATATCAATTTATCCCTACCTTTCTCCGCTGGTGGAGAGTCCATGTTTGTGCTAAAAGAATGTATTGAAAACCCATCTTCCCTTGGATATGGGGGAAGTTTTAAGTGCTTACCAGTCCCTGTGGTTTTAAGTCCTTGCCAGGGCTGTACTTTAAGATGATGAAAGTCTTCCTTTAGCTGTTCTCTCTATTCCGTATCCATTATTAATTCCACCACCTCCATCCAAACTGGTTCTTTTCTTGTAATTGAAATCTGAATTTGTCTTAAAAAATTTAAGAGTTGTTTTCTGAGTTACTTTTTTAATGAGTTGATTATTGGCTGCAGTCCAAAATTTATAATATTTTGAGGGGGGCAGTTTTTATTTCAAACTTTCTTTTAAATAATGATACAGAGGTAGGAAGAAATCAAAACCTCCCGGCCTTAGGAGCAGGTAAAATCTGTCCTCTGATTAAAGAACCCCAGAGTTAAACCTGCCAACTGGGAAAAGCCACTTGGGCCATGAGCCCCTCAGTGGCAAATTTACTTTATTCTGAAAGTCTGTACTTTTTGCTAAAATGACACATGTGGCTTTCTTAATTTTTTTTCTCCATTGGTTTCTTCTTCAGTCCATTCTTTGCTAATGTTATGGATATAAATGAAAAGGACTAATCACAGAAAACATACTGTGATAGGAAACGGGAACATTAGGGCTTAGCTAAATCTTTACTGAATATTAAGAGTTATATTTATTGTTTTAGAAATCTGTGCTTTTGAGAACTGAAACTTTCACATGTTATGAATTATTGATAACATCTTACAATGTTGGAACTACCTATCATTTATATAACATTTGTAAAAATATATTTAGAAAATTTATATAAAATGTGAGTCATAACGATATGATACAAATGGAATAGTTGCAGTCCAACAGATTAAATTAACTTGTTGATGAGTGAATTTTTTGTTTTTTTCCTTTATATAGTGTTGAGATTTTTAGAGAACCCAATGTGTCCCTTGGGATCAGTATTGTTGGTGGACAAACTGTTATAAAACGTCTAAAGAATGGAGAGGAACTTAAAGGTATATTTATCAAGCAAGTTTTAGAAGACAGTCCAGCAGGGAAGACAAACGCACTTAAAACTGGAGATAAAATACTTGAGGTAAATGATGTTAAAGCACTGTTTTTATTGGAAACATACTGTAAGACAGTGGAATAATCATTTAGCCAGAAGACTTTTCTTCGTGTGCTGGGGAGCATGTGTGTACAGTTGGTGTGCTCTATTTATATGCCTTGGTTTGTACATTACATGCACAATTTATGAGTTTCTCAAGTGAGTGGGGGTGGGGGTAAACAAATAAAATGATAAAAGAAAAATTTCAGCTGATCGCAAAAAAACACTAACAAAGGGCTCTATATAGAATGGGCAGATGGTAGGCATTACGCTTCTCCCACAGTCTGTAACAAGCTCTAAATTTTTTTCTTGAAGCTCTAAATTTTATAATTGTGTGTCAATAGGATATATATTCTTGTTTAGAGAAAGAAGTTGACCCTAGAAGGTGTAAGACTCCATTGGGGGAGGGGGAGGATCCATGGTTCGTACCTGATATGCTTTGTGGGAGCTAAGCTGTTGTTTTTTGCTTTTTTGGGTTTTTTTTTTTTTTTTTTTTTTTGAGACGGAATCTTGCTTTGTCACCCAGGCTGGAGTGTAGTGGTGTGATCTTGGTTCACTGCAACCTCTGCTTCCTGGGTTCAAGCGATTCTCCTGCCTCAGCCTCCTGAGTAGCTGGGATTACAGGTATGCACCACCACATCCAGCTAATTTTTTTTGTAGTTTTAGTAGAGACAGGGTTTCACCATGTTGGTCTGTCTGGTCTCAAACTCCTGAGCTCGTGATGTGCCTGCCTCAGTCTCCCACTGTGTTGGGATTACTGGCGTGAGCCACTGCGCCCAGTGTGGGAGCTAGTTTTAAAGGCACTTCAGGCTGAGCATGGTGGCTCATGCCTGTAATCCTAGCACTTTGGGAGGCCGAGGCAGGCGGATCAGTTGAGGTCAGGAGTTTGAGAGCAGCTTGGCTAACATGGGGAAACCCCATCTCTACTAAAAATACAAAAATCAGCCAGGCGTGGTGGCTGCGCCTGTATTCCCAGCTACTTGGGAGGGTGAGGCAGGAGAATCGCTGCAACCTGGAAGGCAGAGGTTGCAGTGAGTCGAGATTGCACAGCTGCCCTCCAGCCACGCAGCCGAGCGAGACTCCATCTCAAAACAGAAAAAAAAGTGAGGTGAGGGGTGGGGGGCATAAAACCACTGAGAGTGCCCTGAAGTCTGAATGGGATACGTTTCTTTTCACTGGGTTAATTGGGTGACACCATGGTGGGTATCTTTAATCCCATTATCTGCTTGTTCTGATTCATGCTTTATGATGCTAACCATCAACCATGGTGTTTCAGCTCTAATGGAATACGAAGAGCCCTGGAGGTCATGGGCTGGAGTCATGTCCTTTTTGGGTTCTGTGTGTTTTTGGACAAATCATTAGACCTACAGATTTTCAGTTTTCAAATAAAATGGAAATGAGAATTCAAAATCTATAGCATTATTGTGAGGATTAAATTAAAGAATTATATAAAAGCAGCTCTGTATACAAATTTTGAGTTATATTTGTGCTGTACAATGTTTAAAAACATTTTCTTTTTTTTTTTTTTTTTTGAGACGGAGTTTCGCTCTTGTTACCCAGGCTGGAGTGCAATGGCACGATCTCGGCTCACCGCAACCTCCGCCTCCTGGGTTCAAGCAATTCTCCTGCCTCAGCCTCCTGAGTAGCTGGGATTACAGGCACACGCCACCATGCCCAGCTAATTTTTTGTATTTTTGGTAGAGACGGGGTTTCACCATGTTGACCAGATGGTCTCGATCTCTCGACCTCATGATCCACCTGCCTCGGCCTCCCAAAGTGCTGGGATTACAGGTTTGAGCCACCGCGCCCGGCCTAAAAACATTTTCAAACATACTGCTAATATGGCAATGAAGAAGATGACCAAAAGTCCCTTACCTTATGGTGTTTACATGATAGTGGGAGTGGGGAATAGAGAATAAAATAAATAAATATATGTAGAATGTCAGGTTGTAATAAGTACCTAGGGAACAAAATAAAGCAGTGGAGGAGAATAAGGAGTGTAGGGGTTTGGGGCAGTGAAAGCAATAGTTGCAATTTTAATAGCTTCATCATGGAAGATGATATTGGGACAAATACAGGAAATGAGAGTGTGAGCCATATGGGTATATGGAGGAAGAAAAACATGCAAAAGCTCTAAGATAGGAGCTTGTCTGGATGTGTTCAAGGAGCAACAGGAAGTCCAGGAATAATAGCATAGCATGAACAAGCCAGAAGGAGTTAGAGAAAGGGGCTAAGGAGTGATGGGAAGCCACATCATGTAGAGCCTGAAAGCTCTGGAAGGTTTTCTGCTTTGAATGCAGTGGAGAGTCACTGGAGAATCATGAGCATGTAAGTACGTATTGTTTCAAAGTGTTTTGGCTTCTGGGGCTGGGATGGAAGGAGGGGCCTCAGCTGGAAGGCTGTTGCAGTCACTTAGGGGAGAAAGAATGGCAGCCTGGACCAGGAGGGGAGCAGTCAGATTGTAGTATATTTTGCAAGTAGAATAATAGGACTTCACCAACAGAATGAATGCAAAAGAGAAAAGTGGTAAGGATAATTCAGATTTTCAGCTTGAGGAATCAAAGATGGAATTTCTATTTGCTGAGATGGGGAAGACTGTGGGAGAAACAGATTTCGGGAGACAGTTTTTAGACATGTTAGGTTAAGACGCCTACCTGTATTTGACATTCAAATAGTAATAGTCAGTTAGATAAACAAATAAGGAGTCCTGTATTCTTACTAATTTTTTTGGTCTTTTTCCTCGGTTTCAGTTAGAGTTTGTCTCCCCCTGGAGTTGTTTGTTATTCCTTGTAATTCTGCTGGTTTTTACTGTATATGTTTAGTGGATTTATTGTTGGTGATTTGCTTTTGACATTATTTAGTTTTCCTGTTTATTCCTATTAATTACTTTTTGACTTAAATTCTATTTTATTAGTATTGGTAACCTTGTTTTTAGTTATTAATTTACATGGCACTTTTCTTTTTTTCTTTTTTTGAGACCGAGTCTCGCACTGTCGCCTAGGCTGGAGTGTAATGACATGATCTTGGCTTACTGCAACCTCTGCCTTCCAGGTTCAAGCGATTCTCTTGCCTCAGCCTCCCAAGTAATTGGGATTACAGGTGCCTACCACCATGCCTGGCTAATTTTTATATTTTTTAGTAGAGATGTGGGTTTTTGCCATGTTGGTCAGGTTGGTCTCGAACTCCTGACCTCAGGTGATCTGCCCACTTCGGCCTCCCAAAGTGTGGGATTACAGGCGTGAGCCTCTGTGCCCAGCCAGTAGTTTGTTTTTCTCATTCCTCCTTTTCCACTATTCTTTTCATTTAGTTTGTTGTATTTTTTATAAGCAACATACAACTGAATTTTGTTTTTTTTAAATCTAAATTAATAATCGTCTAGAAAATAAGTGAGATGAATTCACTTTTTGCTTTGGTTACTGATCTATTGTAACTTAATTTTTAAATATTATTGTATTATATTTTTTCTTAATGCATTTTGAAATCATAAATTCATAGCAAATTACAAAGAAGTGTACAGGGGAAGTCTCATGTACTGTTCACTCAGCCACCTCCAATTTTAATATCTTGTGCAACTATACCACAATAGCAATACCAAGAAATTGACATTGGCTCAATCTGTAGTTTATTCAGATTTTACCAGTTATGCATGCATTGATTTGCGTGTGTGTTTGTAGCTCTATACAGTTTTATCACGTGTAAAACCTTGCATATGCACCACCACAATGGAGAAACTCAACTGTATCATCACCACAAAACTGCCTTGCATTCCCCTTCTGTTTTAGTTCCTTCTCACACTGCTATGAAGAAATACTCAAGACTGGGCAATTTATAAAGGAAAGAGGTTTAATTGACTCACAGTTCCACATTGCTGGGGAGGCCTCAGGAAACTTTCAATCATGGCAGAAGGAGAAGCAGGCACCTTCTTCACTTTCTGTTATCCTCTTCCCTTTCTCTCCCATCTCTATCTTCTGACAGCCAGCAATCTGTTTCTTAATGTCTATAATTATGTTATTTTACAATTGTCTCATAATGCAATTATGCATTATGTATGTTTTTGAGATTGCCTTTTTTTTACTTAGTATCATCTCCTTGAGGTTAATTCAATTTATTATGTGCATTACTAGTTCATTCCTATGGCTGGGTGAGGTGGCTAACACCTGTAATCCCAGCTCTTTGGGAGGTAGAGGCAAGAGAGTGGATTGAGTCAGGAGTTCAAGACTTGCTTGGGCAACAGAGTGAAACCCTCTCTCTACAAAAAAACAACAAGTTTGTTCCTTTTTGTTGAGTAGTTGTCTTTGGAAATTCAGGCTGCCAAAACAAAATACCATAAAGATAGAAATTCCATTATCGTTCTGGAGGCTGGGTAGCTGGGAACTCCAAGATCAAGGGATTGGCAGATTCGGTGTCTGGGGAGGATGTGTTTTCTGGGTCGCAGATGATGCCTTCTCTTTTACTATGTGTCCTCACACAGTAAAAGGGATAAGCTAGCTATCTTGGGTCTCTTTTATTGAGGGCACTAATCCCATTCTTGAGGGCAGAGCCCTCATGACCTAATCATTTTGTAAAGGCCCTGCCTACCTCCTAATACCTTCACCTTAGAGGTTAGAATTTCATCATATGAACTGTAAAGGCCACATAAATTCCAACCGTAACAGTGGCATTTCATGATGTGTGTGTACCAATTTGTTTAACCATTCATCCATTGAAAGGCACTTGGGTAGTTTTTAATTATTGGCTATTACAAATAAATCTGCTCTAAATATGTCTATACAAATTCCTGAGTGAAAATAAGTCTCCATTTCTCTAGGATAAATACCCAAGAGTTCGATTACTGAGTTTTATGTTAATTCCAGTTTCTGAAAAGAGTTGTCAAACTCTTTTTCAGAGTGGCTGGCTATACTATTTTACATTCACACCAGCAATGTATAATTCTCCATATTCTTTTTTTTTTTTTAATTTTCATTTTTTTGGTTTCTCCATATTCTTACCAACCTTTTCCCTTTACTCTCACACTCAGAACAGTAAATGTGGCCAGATGTGTAGGGGTTTCCCCCCATACTCCAGTGGACACCAACTGGGTGTCTTATAATTCAGTCCAATTCTGATACTATGTACCTGGAGATAGTGTCAGATCCCCAGTGGACACCAACTGTCTTACAATTTAATTCAATTCTGACACTGTGTACTTGGATATAGCATCAGATCACACAGGTTGAGGGCTTGATCCTGCAAGACTGCCCCCATGTCAGATGCCACTCTTAGTAGGTTGTTACCTATACTTCTGACCAACTGGCTATAAACCAGGGCTTCCACATCCATCTCCTTGCATTTTGTTGATTTGCTAGGGCAGCTCAGAGAAACACTTACTTACATTTACTGGTTATACACAGGTTATAGATGGACAGCCAGATGAAGAGATGCATAGGGCAAAGTATGGAGAGGAGGGCACAGAATAACCACACTCTGGGTATACCACCTGCCACCCTCCCAGCACGTCCACATGTTCAACAACCCAGAAGCTCATCAAATCTCGTTCAAGGGTTTTTACAGAGTTTCATCTGCAGCCCCCACCCTCACTTCTTGGAGATCGTGGGGGAAGTGTGGGGTTCTCTAATACTTTGGTCTTTCTGGCAACTGGCCCCATCCGGAGACTATCCAGGGGATCTACCCTAAGCCACCTCAGTAGCATAAACTCAGATGTGAAAGGGGCTGTCATGCATAACAAAAGACACTCCTATCACTCAGGAAATTCCAAGGGTACTCTGTGACAAGAACAAGAACATTTCATATGATGCCACAGGCACACACATCCGTGTCCTCAGCTTCTCGTGCTCACTTCCTCCTCCACCTGCTGACGTTCAGTGGTTGTGGCTCCACCTCCTCCCTTGCATGTGCTTCCTGCTCTTGATCCTTCTTCCTTTCACTGAACTTGTCTGGGAGAACCACATCCTAGTTAAGTGCAACTCTGCTTATTCCAGGTCTCTGGCATGGCTAGAGAAATAACCAGCCATGGTGTCTGGTCTTATTAGAAGCTCATGAGCACCCCCACAAGCAGGTCTTTAATTTTGCCCTGCTGTCCTTTAATATTCTCCTAGCTGGTTCAGTCTCCTCTCTTTATAAATGATATGTCCTCAACCAAATCTCATCTTGAATTGCAGTTCCCCAAATCCCCACATGTCATGGGAGGGACCCAGTGGAAGGTAATTGAATCATGGGGGTGGCTACTTCCATTCTGCTGTTCTTGTGATAGTGAAGTGAGTTCTCACAAGATCTGATGATTTTATTTTATATTATTTACTTACTTATTTTCAAACAGAGTTTTGCTCTGTCACCCAGGCTGGAGTGCAATAGTACGGGCGTGTGCCAACACGCTCAGCTAATTTTTGTATTTTTAGTAGAGATGGGGTTTCACCATGTTGGTCAGGTTCATCTCAAACTCCTGACCTCATGATCCACCCGCATTGGCCTTCCGAAGTGCTGGGATTACAGGCATGAGCCACCGTGCCCCGCCAATCTGATGATTTTATAAGGAAATTTTCCCCCTTTGCTGGGCACTTCTCCTTCCTGCCGTGTGAAGAAGCATGGGTTTCCTTCCCCTTCCACTATGATTGTCAGTTTCCTGAGGCCCTCCCAGCCATACAGAACCATGAGCTAATTAAACCTCTTTCCTTTATAAATTACATACTCTTAGGCTGTTCTTTACAGCAGCGTGAGAACAGACTAATACAACAGGTAACTGTGCCAAACCCCTTATGCCTCTTTCCTCCGTCTTGCTCTCAGTTTAAGGTCCTAGTTTCAGGTTTCATTGAGAAAATAGAGGCAGTTAAAGGGAACTTCCCCTGCTTCCCGTGCTCACCAAATCTTTTTTCTAATTGCCTTTGTAACAGCAAAAGAACTGTATTTGTGCTTCCATCCAAAGCCAGTCTCTCTAATGACGTAGAAATCATTCCCTCTTGATTATCCAAGGATATTGTCGTTACAGTGGTCATGTCTCTCTCCTTTATCATCCATTTTTTCTCTCCACTATATCAATATCGCTGTGATATTTCCTCCTGTTTTCAAAACATCCTGCATCCCGGCTGGGCGCCGTGGCTCAAGCCTGTAATCCCAGCACTTTGGGAGGCCGAGGCGGGTGGATCACAAGGTCGAGAGATCGAGACCATCCTGGTCAACATGGTGAAACCCCGTCTCTCCTAAAAATATTTAAAAAATTAGCTGGGCATGGTGGCACATGCCTGTAATCCCAGCTACTCAGGAGGCTGAGGCAGGAGAATTGCCTGAGCCCAGGAGGCAGAGGTTGCGGTGAGCCGAGGTCGCGCCATTGCACTCCAGCCTGGGTAACAAGAGTGAAACTCCGTCTCAAAAATAAATAAATAAATAAAATAAAATAAAAATAAAAATAAAAATCCTGCATCCCTCTCCACCTGCATTCCTGTTTCCTCAGTCCTCTGATAGCAAAGCAGTCTTCATAAATTGTCACTGTCTGTTGAGACATTAGACCACCCCAGCATCTACCAAGTCTTTGTTATATTATAGGTTTGAAAAATTTGTTCTGTTAAACATGTTTTGGAAATACAGAGTGCTCTTGGAGATTTATGGGCGTGTTAGCAAGTTAGGTTCTCTGAAATTTTCTGTAATAGGGAACTGTTTACACTTAAATTTACTGAACACAGAAATAGTTTTAGTAGAGGAATTTGTGAATGTTTTTTGGTACTTCTTTTTAAACGTCATTTGAGAAATGTTCAACTACTCAATTGTGATAACAGGTGATTTGCCTAAAATATTACGTCTCGCGGCTTAATGGAGAGATGATAAAAGTCCATAGATAATCCCAGCCTCCCTTGTCCCACTCAGAATTATGTGCTGCACTCCTGGCAGAGGTGACAGACATCTTAAGCTGCTGTTACTGACTGAGCTACCTGTTTAGCATAATTATATTTAACCAGGGCCATTTTTATTAATGTATTTGTCTTATCTACTTTTCTGAAGGTGAAATGTTACTTTCCTTACACATGTTCTCCTAAAATACCAAAGTTTTTCTGGGCCAGTCTTGACTATGGTCTACTCATTAGGCTCTGGTTGTTCTCATAACTAGATAATACACACAGACTTTGAATTAACCTATCCACAATATCTACTGCTGTTCTTTTTTTCTTTTATTATTTTTTTTTTGAGACAGAGTCTTGCTCTGTCACCAGGTGCCAGGCTCGAGTGCAGTGGCACAACCTCGGCTCGCTGCAACCTCCACCTCCTGGGTTCAAGCAATTCTCCTGCCTCAGCCTCCCAGGTAGTTGGGACTACAGGCGCACACCACCACGTCCAGCTAATTTTTTTTTGTATTTTTAGTAGAGACGGAGTGTCACCATGTTGGCCAGGATGGTCTCGATCTCTTGACCTCGTGATCCACCCGCCTCGGCCTCCCAAAGTGCTGGGATTACAGGCTTGAGCCACCACGCCCGGCCTCTAGTGCTGTTCTAATTGAGATAAGTTGCTTCTGTGTTTCAGGTGTCCGGAGTAGATTTGCAGAATGCCTCACACAGCGAAGCGGTCGAGGCCATTAAGAATGCAGGAAACCCCGTGGTGTTCGTTGTTCAGAGCTTGTCATCCACTCCACGAGTAAGTTTTAGTTCGTCTTTTCAAGAAGTTTAATAATACTCTGTATACCTGCAGACCAAACTTTGGCCAGTATTTTCCACATATTTTCATTGTTATTTAGCTATACTAAAAGTATGAGCTTCACAAAAATTTAGTCATTAACTTTAAGGTCCCTTTTTTCCTCTCCAGTTTTGATCTTCTGATCAAATTGGAGTCACTACAGTGTGCAATGGTTTAAGTTACACCGTCTGGAATCAAACAGACCTGTTTTCAATTTCTTGATTCCTTATTTACCAGCTTTGCTAGGAGGCAAGTTACTTTCCTGAGCCAGTTACTTTGTCTATAAAATACTTCGAACAGAGTCAGGTGTAAAACAACATTGTAGAGATACTATCACATGTGTATATTTATTAAAGCATGTAAAAATAAAAACATGTTGACTTGTTGTACTGTTTGTGTTCTAATGTTGGAGATTCTAAATTTAAAAACAGCAATTCTTAATCATAAAATTTTTCTTTTTCTTCTTCTTTTTCTTTTTCTTTTTTTTTTTTTTTTGAGGTGGAGTCTGGCTCTGTTGCTCAGGGCAAAGTGCAATGGTGGGCTCTCAGCTCACTGCAACCTCTGCCTCTGAGGTTCAAGTGATCCTTGTGCCTCAGCCTCCTGAGTAGCTGGGATTACAAGCATGTGCGCCACCCTGGTCCTTTAATTTTGGTATTTTTAGTAGAGATGAGATTTCACCTTGTTGACCAGTCTGGTTTCAAATGCCTGACTTCAAGTGATCTGCCCACCTCGGCCTCCCGAAGTGCTGGCATTACAGGTGTGAGTGACTGCACCTGACCTAAGATTTTTCTTCTGTAATTAATTACTCCTTTGGTATGGAATTGGCACTCTGATATGAAATGTCGGTGGCAGGATGTGGATTTTATGCTACAGTGTGCAACAGATACGTCACCCTTAAAATTGGAAGCAATATTCTTTTTCTTCATTTTATGATGGAAGACAGCTATTCAAAACATCCACACTTCTTTGTTTTTGGTAGCAGTCTCACTCTGTCACCTAGCCTGGAGTGCAGTGGCATGATCGTAGCTCACTGCAGCCTTTGTCTCCTGGGCTCAAGCAATCTTCCTGCTTTAGCCTCCCAAGTAACTGGGATTACAGGTGCACGCTACCACACCTGGCAAATTTTTTTTTGGTTTTTGACAGGTTCTCGCTTTGGTGCCCAGGCTTACTTATGCACTTCTAATTGCGTATTTTAAGAAATTATTTGCTTTCCAATATACTTAAGTAGTGCATTCCAATCTTTTTTAATGTCAAGGCAAAAAGAAAATAATACTTACATGGCAAACTGGGCAAATATATGGTTGGCTATCTCAATGGTGGGGGCATTTGCATACTGGTAACCTGCCTATGCCCAGTGAGCTGTAGCCTGCATTGGCACCTCTGCTGTGTCACTGCCTTTTGCAGTATGGTGCCTTCCATTCTTAGCACCATGTTGACACCCTCAAGACTAATTGAGAGACATGAACTGAATAAAGTTCTCTTGTTTTCACAAAATTTGAAATTCAATGAGAATTTTTAGGATGCAGTTTTTAATTTTTGTGATATTGGGAATGTTGTTGAGGCCATGGCTTATTATTTCTAGAAACTGGGTTCAACAGGAAAATTGGCCAGATTGTTCTTTGCCAAATTATACTTCTAAATCAACAATTTTGAGTGAGAGTGAGCCAATCAAATTATACATTTGGGTGGCCAGCTGTGAATGCCCTGCCAAAAGGCTAAGCTTTCAATCCAACCTATGCTAGTGAGCTGAGGTGGAAATTGTTGTTTGGATGACACAAACAGTACAATTTCTTTCAATTACTCAAAGAAAATCTCTTCAGCACTATGCCATGCTCAAGTTACTTATTTCCTAATGTAGCTTAGTAGACGGCTACATTGTACATTCAGTTCATCAGGCACTGAACTATCTGGGTTCTAGACAATGAAGCATATCCCATTGATGATGTTAATTGCTATGTCCATGACTTGTTCCATTTTCAACTTTGTTTTTAGGGCAAAGTGACTTTTTTTTTTTTTGAGACAGGGTCTTATTTTGTCACCCGGGATGAGTACAGTGGCACAATCATGGCTCACTAAAGCCTCAACCTCCTTGGCTCAAACAATCCTCCAAGTTCAGCCTCCCAAGCAGTTGTAACCATGGGTATGCATCACCATGCCCAGCTAGCTTTTGATTTTTTTTGTGCAGATAGGGTCTCCCCTTATTCTCCAGGCAGGTCTTGAACTCCTGGGCTCAAGCAGTCCTCCCGCCTTGGCCTCCCAAAGTATTGGGATTACAGGCATGAGCCACTGCGCCTGGCCAGGACAAAGTGATTCTTATTGCATGAGACAAATGAAAAGAGAATCAAGTTTCATCTCTTTGTAAAATAGTGCTCTCTTTGGTTTACTTATTATTGCAAGTAGTACTGATTATCCAGAAATAGAAAATATAGGCAATGCTTAATTATTTTTGTTTAATTTACATTAAAATTTGAACTTTCCTTAAAACCCAAAAATAAATCATTTTCTAATATGCCTGATGTCGAAAAGTACCTTGGTCACATAAACATTCTCCTCAACAATATGAATGGAGTGGTTGTTTTTATCTGGGTGCATTATCAGCTGCTTTAGGACCATCACCAATATACCCTTTAAAGCTTCTCACCCTGACTTTCTCAAGTATATTTTCAGCATTCTGGAAAAATGTGTGTATCTACTTGGATGTACTTGACAAATACTTACTTGAGAGTAAGGCTCATAGAAAGTTTTTCTATAAGGTAATTTTTTCCACTTAGTAACATAACTGGCCGGGCGCGGTGGCTCAAGCCTGTAATCCCAGCATTTTGGGAGGCTGAGGCGGGTGGATCACGAGGTCGAGAGATCGAGACCATCCTGGTCAACATGGTGAAACCCCGTCTCTACTAAAAATACAAAACATTAGCTGGGCATGGTGGCGTGTGCCTGTAATCCCAGCTACTCAGGAGGCTGAGGCAGGAGAATTGCTTGAACCCAGGAGGCGGAGGTTGCGGTGAGCCGAGATTGCGCCATTGCACTCCAGCCTAGGTAACAAGAGCGAAACTCCATCTCAAAAAAAAAAATAAATAAATAACATAACTGCACTTCACAGAAACGTGTGTGTGTGTGTGTGTGTGTGTGTGTGTGTGTGTGTGTTTCATATTAAAAAGTCCTCCAGCCTGGCCATTATGGTGAAACCCCATCTCTACTAAAAATATAAAAAGTTAGCTGGGTGTGGTGGTGCAGTTCTGTAGTCCCAGCTACTTGGGAGGCCGAGGTAGGAGAATCGCTTGAACTCGGGAGGTGGAGGTTGCAGTGAGCCAGGATCATACCACTGCACTCCAGTCTGGGTGACAGAGCGCAAGTATTGTTACAAAAAAAAAAAAAAAAAAAAAAATCCTTTTGAAATTGGGTCATATCTTCAGCTCATTATGTTTATCATAACATGTTACTTTCGTCCTTTCTATATTCCAGTTGTACTTCCCAATACCATCATTCCATAAGGGTATCTAGTTTTTTTGACACATGAGCATTTTTCTTTTTTATTCTTTTTATTTTTATTTTTTTGTAAATGGGGTCTCGCTATATTGCCCAGGCAGGTCTCGAATTCCTGGGCTGAAGCTATCTTCCTGCCTCTGCCTCCCTAAAAGTTGGGATTACAGGTGTGAGCCACAGCGCTCGGCAACACATGAGCATTTTGCATATGAATCATCTATAAATATATTTTTAATTTAACAAGAAATACATTCTGCTGTTTTCCTGAAAGGTATAGCCTCATTGAGGATTTTGTCTTCTAAATTTTGCTAAAGATATATGTGCAGAAGAACATTTCTCTGCTATTTGAAAAACAGTGGGCTGGGCCCAGTGGCTCACACCTGTAATCCAGCACCTTGGGAGGCTGAGGTGAGAGGATCACTTGAGATCAGGAGTTGGAGACCAGCCTGGCCCACATGGCAAAACCCTGTCTCTACTAAAAATACAAAAAGTAGCCAGGTGTGGTGGTACATGCTTGTAATCCCAGCTACCTAGGAAGCTGAGGCAGGAGAGTTGCTTGAACCTGGGAGACAGACGGTGCAGTGAGCCAAGATCGTGCCACTGCACTCCTGTCTGGATGGCAGTGAGACTCCATCTCAACAAGAAAAAAAAAAAAAAAGAAAGAAAAACAATGTAAACATTATGAGTGGCATCTGACATTGTGTCTCATTTAGCTTCTACTTAGCATCAACCAATTTTTCCATGGGAGAAAGTAGTAGTAGTGTGGGTGGATAGCTTCTGACTTGTCAGGGAGGCAATGTTTTGTTTCAGATTCTTCCGGACAAGGAACACATGCCTGTACACCCCACCAGTCTTTGAAATCTGACTTAGGTCGTTATCTATATTAAACAGAGATAGAAATATGAGATACTAGCACAGCGCCTCTTCACATAGCACTGTACATATGTTAATGTATCATTACTGTTGTTTTTATGTAAATGACACACTTCTGAGAATGTAATTTATTCTGAAATTTATTTTCTTAAAAATGAAAATTTAATCTTTTAAATTGCATTTAGAGGAAAATGGGCTTTTTGTTTTGTTTTTAATTATCTCTAGGCAGGCAGTCTTTTAATCTTCTGAGCAAGGAGTTTTTTTTTTTTTTCTTTTTAATTTGTTTATGTATTTTTTGAAAAAAAAATCTTGCCCTGTCACCGAGGCTGGTGTTCAGTGGAGCAACTGTGGCTCACTGCAGCCTCGCCTCAGCCCCACAAGTAGCTGGGATTCCAGGTCCACACTATCACACTCAGCTAAGTCTTAAATTTTTGTAGAGATGGAGTCTCCCTATGTTGCCCACGCTGGTCTCAAACTCCTGGATTCCAGCAATCCTCCCACCTTGGCCTCTCAAAGCGCTGGGATTACAGATGTGAGCCACTGTACTCAGCCTATTTTTTTTTTTCTTTTAGGCTTCATGTCTCTCACCAGATTTTATGCCAAGATTATCTATGCTAGCTCTTTGAGGAGCCTGTTTGATAAAATTAAACTGGTTCATTCGTTTATAAAGTTGCATTAAGTGTAACTATGTATTAGACCATTTCTGAGCATGAGAGAAATAGTGAAAAATAACACTGAGTTCTACTCTCATGAAGGTTATTCAGTGGTGGAAATAGACTTGTTAATTCAGCCTCATGCTAACAGTGATAGTGGAGTATTTATTGAGTACACACAGTATGGGAGATAACATACTTGGACTGGGGGTACCATGATGAATAAGGTAAATCTGCCAAGTAGATGCGTTATCCTATGTTCTTGGATAATTAATTAGGTCATACCTGAAACTCTGTCTTGCAAAATGAGATATTTGGATGATAGTCAGCATGTGACCTTGTTTTTAGTCTTTTTCATCTTCAGCTTCTGGATCCACATACAGAAACTTGCATTTTTATGCCCCTATGGCATATATATATATATGAAACTTTATAGTATTTCAGAGTTATATATCTTGTCGGATTTTCCAAGTTTTATTGTTTGCTTTGAATTATACTTCTAATATCTTTACTCTTTAGATGAGATTACAAAGTTAAGATTTTAGCTGTTTAAACAAATACATTAAGAAATGTAATGAGAGACTGGTGTGGTGGCTCACGCCTATAATCCCAGCACTTTGGGAGGCTGAGGTGGGCAGATTATCTGAGGTCAGGAGTTTGAGAGCAGCCTGGCTGACATGGTGAAACCCCGTCTCTACTAAAAATACAAAAATTCGCTGGTGTGATAGCAGGCGCCTATAATCCCAGCTACTTGGGAGGCTGAGGCTGGAGAATCGCTTGAACCCAGGAGGTGAAGATTTCAGCGAGTGGAGATCGCGCCACTGCACTCCAGCCTGCGTGACAAGAGGGAAACTCCATCTCAAAATAAATAAATAAATAAATAATGTTAAAATAATTATCCATTCTGGAATGTCAAGAAAAATAAAATGTAATGATTATGTCATTTAAAGTTTTTCTTCCTTCCACCCCTTTTTTTGTTGCTGTAGGTCATTCCTACTGTTCATAACAAGGCCAACAAAATCACCAGTAACCAGAACCAGGGCACCCAAGAAAAGAAAGAAAAGGTAATTTGAACTTCTCATGTGTTTAAAAAGTGTTTTTGGTTTTTTTTGTTTTGTTTTGTTTTTTGCATATCTTCGCTAAAATAGAAGTGGTTTTTTGATGAGTGTCAGTGTTGTAGAAACACTATATTTACAATATTTTTTCCTGTGAATATAACTGGTTCTTACCAGCATAGAGGACGGAAGCTTGATGCAGCACAGATGCCAAAACACTATAAATGGCCAGTCCGCCATCAACATTATAGCTTTCTTTCCTGTTCAGACGGGCTGGTTGTTTGTCCATTCCCAGGATATGCCTCTCACACTGAGACTTTGATCTTTCTGTTCTCGCCTGGAAGTCCATTTCCTACACTGCTCTGCCGTAAGAATCCTTTCATTCTTCAAGGACCGTATCAAAGGTCATCTCTCCTTAGAAAACTATCCTTCTGTCAATCAGAATTAATCCTCCATTCCTGTTTGCCCACCTCTATTAAAGTAGAATCTGTTGACCTAAAAATTATTATTATTATTATTATTATTATTATTTGAGATGGAGTTTCGCTCTTTTTACCCAGGCTGGAGTGCAATGGCGCGATCTCGGCTCACCGCAACCTCCGCCTCCTGGGTTCAGGCAATTCTCCTGCCTCAGCCTTCTGAGTAGCTGGGATTACAGGCACATGCCACCATGCCCAGCTAATTTTTTGTATTTTTAGTAGAGACAGGGTTTCACCATGTTGACCAGGATGGTCTCGATCTCTCGACCTCGTGATCTACCCGCCTCGGCCTCCCAAAGTGCTGGGATTACAGGCTTGAGCCACCGTGCCCGGCCTGACCTAAAAATTATTTTAAGATGTGGTGTCAAGTAGGGATGAATTTTTATTTTTTCCCATCAAGAGAACTTACTGTTCTCTTGGGGAACTAACTGTCCCACTGTTTTAAAATAGGACCTCCTTTACCCACAGATTTGTAGTGCACCTCTGTTGTATCTCGGGTTACAAGGGGGAGTCTGTTTCTGAGCTTTCTCTTTGTTCCATTTGATCAACTTGTCTGCCCCAGCACAAATACTGCATGGACTGAATTATTAATAGTAATAAATCTTGTTTCCTGATAAAGCATTTTCTTTTATATGTTTCTTCTTCTTTGTAAGTGTCTTAACTATTTGTATCATTTTTCTTTTCAGTATCCATTTAGAATCAGATTATTAAATTCCACAAAAGTTTCTTTTGGGATTTTGACTGGAATTGTGTTGAATCTATAGATAAACTTAGAAGTTACGTCTTTTTGATGTTGAGACTTTTAAACCATTAATATATATTTTTCTATTAAATTCTTTTATTTCCTTTAATTAATTTTTATAATTTTAATTAAAAAGGCATTGAAATATTTTTATTTATTTCTAGGTTTTTTTATATTGCTAGAAATCCTATCTTTTTAAATTGAATTTTTTGTTTGTTTCTAGTATGTGGACATAAAATTGACCTTTATATATTTATTTGACGTCTTATAACATTATTCTTTTAAAACATTCAATAATCTAGTGGAGAATACTGGGAAAACCATAATGCTGACACAAAAAAATATAAATATAAACCTACTTAAAGATAAACTTATTAAACATTTCATAAAGAATGTTTAGTGTCTTTATGTGTGTGTTCCATATATGGTATTTTTAATAAGAATATGAATCTCAAATTCTTATTCTGTATAGATTTTATTTTTGGATTTTCTATACATATAATAATAATAAACACTTTGGAATAAGGTGTTTTCTTTTTTCCTTTCCACTCTTTGTTTTTCTCATTTTATTGTATCTGCTAAGACCTCCATTACTGTGTTTAATAGAAGTAATGATAACTAACATTCTTGTCATTTTTCTTCCTGATATTTAAGGAAAAGCTTTTAATATTTCACCACTGAATATGATGTAGGTATTTGTAGATAATCTGTCATGTAACTGTCTGATGGGTTCATCCTACTCACTGCCCAGATACAGTCGATTCATCAAGACAGGGGAATTGCAGTAGAGAAAGAATTTAATGTGTACAGAACTGACTAAGCTGGAGACAAGCGTTTTATTATTGCTTGAATCAGCCTCTCTGAAAATTTGGAGCCTGGAGTCTTAAGATAGTTTGGGGGCTAGGGATTGAGGAACTCTGATTGGTTTGGGTGAGGATGAAATCACAGGGAGTCCAAAACTGTCCTCTTGTGCTGAGTCAGTTCCTTGGGGAGATAAGGCACAAGACCAGGTAAGCCAGTTTACCAGTCTGGGTGTGTCGGCTGATCCATCAGAATGCAGGCTCTGGAAAATATCTTAAACACTAATTTTAGTTTTTGTAATAGTAACATTATCCATGGAAGCAACTGAGAAGATTAGGAATCTTGTGGCTTCTAACTGCAGGACTCCTAATCCATAATTTCTAATCTTGTGGCTAATTTGCTAGTTTTGCAAAGATGATCTGGTCCCCAGGCAAGTAGGGGGTTTGTTTTGGAAAAGAGCTGTTATCATCTTTGTTCCAAAGTTGAACTATGAACTAAATTCCTCCTATGGTGAGCTCCGCCTATGCACAGGGATAAACAAAAGCAAGGTATTGGAGGTTAAGGAAATATTCTTAAGGCAAGATGGAGTTGGTTAGCACAGATCTCTTTCACTGCCGTAGTTTTCTCACTGTTACAGTTTTTGCAAAGGTGGTTTCAGTCAGGTTAAGGAAATACTCTCTTTCATTCCTACTTTGCTAAGAATTTTTACCATGAATGGCATTGGCATTGACTTTTACCAGACGTATTACTAACATCCGCTGAAATAAGTGGGTGCATGTATACATTTTTTTCTTCTTGAATCCCTTAATGTAGTAAATAATATTAGTAGATTTCAGAATGTTGAACCAATCTTGAATTACTGGAATGCAATTTATTTGGTCATAATTTTTTTTTTTTTTTTGCCCATTGCTGGTATTTCTTTTAGGATTTTTCCGTTCATGGTCATGAGTGAGATTTGCCTGGAAATTTTCATTTATGTATTGTCCTATCTGGCTTTGGTTGTGGTAAACTACTAAAATGATTAGTAGGAGCATTTATTCTTTTAAGTTCTCTGAAAGTTTGTATGAAAAAAATTATCAATTCCTTCAATCTTTAGTCAGACTACCCTATGAAGCCATTGTGGGCCTGTGTTTTCTATGTGAGAAAAATTTTAAATATTGATTTAGTTCTTTAATAATTGTTAAATCATTCTGATTTTCTATTTCTTCTAGACTCATTTTTGGTCGTTGACTCTTCTAGGAATATTGATATAACCTAAGTTTTTATATTTGTTGGCATAAAGTTGTTTGTGTATTTTCTTTTTTTTTTGAGACAGTCTCGCTCTGTCACCCAGGCTGAAGTGAAGTGGTGCTATCTTGGCTTACTGCAACCTCCGTCTCCCGGGTTCAAGTGATTCTTGTGCCTCAGCCTCCCAAGTAGCTGGAATTATAGGCATGTGCCACCATGCCTAGCTAATTTTTTGTATTTTTAGTAGAGGTGGATTCTCACCAGATTGCTTAGGTTGGTCTTGAACTCTTGAGCTCAGGCAGTCTGCCCACCTTGGCCTCTCAAAGTACTAGGATTACAGGCCTGAGCCACTGTGCCCAGCCATTTGTGTATCCTCTTAACATTAATCATCTCTGCTCCATCTATGGTAGTTATTTTTCATTCTGAAATTGGTAATTATGGCCAGGCCTGGTGGCTCATGCCTGTAATCCTAGCACTTTAGGTGGCCAAGGTAGGAAGATTGCTTCAGCCCAGAAGTTCAAGACCAGCCTGGGTAACCTGGCAAGACTCTGTCTCTACATAAAATATTAACTAGGTGTGGTGATGTGTAACTATAGTCTCAGCTACTTGGGAGGCTGAGGTAGGAGGATAACTTGAGCCAGGGAAGGCCACAGTGAGCCACGGTTACGCCATTGCACTCCAGCCTAGGGGACAGGGCAAAAAAAAAGTAAAAAATAAAATAAAACAAATAATAATGAAAACTAAATTAAAAAATAGGTAATTATTTGCTATATCTTTTTCTTCATTAATCTTGAAAGTAATTTTTTAATTTAATTTTTTTCTGAAGAATTACCTTTTGAAGTATGTTCGTCTTATCTGTTATATCTTTTTTCTGCTTAATTAATTTTGTTCTCATCTTTATTTTGCCTTGCTTCTTTGTTTGGATTTATTCTCCTTTTTTACCCCTTAATAATTTTTAGTTAATTGCAGAGATTATTAATTTTCTACCTTTTTTCTTGTCTAAAATAATCATTTAAGGCTATATATATATATATAGAGGGGGGAGAGAGAGAGAGAGAGAGAGAGAGAGAGAGAGAGAGAGAGAGAGAGCTGCAGCCTTACTCTGCTGCCCAGGATGGGGTGCAGTGGTGCAATCACAGCTCACTGCAACCTCACTGCAGCTAGTCCTCCCATCTCAGCCTCCCAGGATGCTGAGACTACAGACACATACCACCATGCCTGGTTAATTTTTTGTATTTTTTTTAGAGATGAGGTTTTACCATGTTGCCTAGGCTGATCTCAAACTCCTGGGCTCAAGCAATCTGCCCACCTCAGCCTCCCAAAATGCTGGGGTTACAGGCTTGAGCCACAGCCCCTAGCCTAAATTTTTTCTAAGTTCCTGTTTACTACATTCTAAGATTTTAAATTGAATTTCTCTTCTTTGGTACTAAGGGGTTTTGTTTGTTTGTTTGTTTTTGTTTTTAGGCTCCAATGCGATTTCTTTTGGACCCAAAATGTATTTAGAAATTTATTTTAAAGTTTCCACATGAATGTTTAAAAAAATTTTTTTGTTCTATTTTCTAATTTAGCTATAATCAGAGATTGTTGTTTATGTAATATTAATTTTTTGACATTGGTTGCAACTTGTTTTTAATAGCCTAGTACATAGTTATTATGAATGTTCTATTTGTGATTAAAAAGAACAGTTATTATTTAATACATAATTATTAATTATTTAGTTATTGGGGACAGGTTTTTATAAAAAGTTTATAGATCAAACT